AATGGCTCCAAGATTTTTTTCAAGTACAAACTTTTAGCTCATAGCTCCGTCATCTCTTGACCGATTTGAGATCTAATTACAGTTTTTGGCTCAGGAGGTCAAACCCTTTGGATTGATGAATTTGACCACACCCAAGGTCTCATAGATTAATTTACTCTAATCCTGCCTAAAATAATTTGAATTTGAGGGTAGGCTGGTAGAGATCCCAAACTCTTGGTATCGCTGGTGCACAGAAATATAGCTAATAAAAAGCCCCCCCAGTGGCACACCGGCATGTCTGAAGACTTAAAACGCTAGAAACCAGGTTTCAATATCCGTTGTGGGCAGAGCACAGATGACCCATTGTGTAGCTTTGTGCTTAACTTCAATAATAAAAAAAAAGAAAAAAAGGGTTTCGTAGATCAATTTACTCTAATCCTGCCTATAAGAATTTCAAGAGCCGCGGCTATTGAGGATTCCCTCTTGTTACTCTGTATAAGTTAAACTAACTACTTCAGTATTGTGAAGAAATACTGACAAGGACGTAAAGGAATTCATAAATGACCTTGTTAAAGTGTCCCCTCTCCCCAGTGGCTCAGCGGTAAGTCCGAGAGATAATACCACTAAAAAAATCGGGTTTCGATACTCGTGGCGGGCACAGCATAGATAGCCCATTGTGTAGCTTTATGCTTAACAACAAGCAAACAAAGCGCTGTCGAGGAAAAAAACAGAATAATTATGTAAATAACTGCCCCACGATAAACCCCAACACGAGGATTTCTTTCTTTATATTTTACTTATCCGAAATAGAAGTCAAAATATTTCGAACACGTTTATTTTAATTGTGAATCCTCGTAATGGTGGACTCGATCTAAAAGATAATGAACTTTTTAAATATTAACCCTATTAGGCTTCGTAGCAAACGGTTAAAAATAAAACCAAATTTATGTGTGATGACGATGATGCCACATTAATGGTGAATCTCTGTGTTAAAATTATTATCTTCTTTTTTTTTTGTAAATTGTAGCAAATGTGAATTTTACGTTCAGAATTTTTGCCTCATTGCTTCAATATTAAAAATTTACGTTTAATAATTCTTCAGCTTACTATTCATCAGCTATTATATAAGCTTACTTAGAAGTAGGCATTATGAATTCTGTTATGTCTAAAACCTCTTGCATTAAATATATTTACAGAATCACAAATCTGTAATTTCATATTATTAATAAACAATGAGAGCGACCTCTATACTATAATAAAGCGACATCTCAGTAGTGTGATATCTTCGATTTATCGAATACACTCGTAGGTCGGCTCGTTTACAGTGGGAACCGAAGTTTTCGTTGGAACATCGAAACAAAATTTCTCAAAATGGATCCTGAAGCATTCCTAGACCTTGCAAATCAAGTTACTAAACTAAAGATGTATCCATATTTTGAGGCAGCTCATTGTGCAATAGTTTGTATGTATATCAAAGAAGACTTGGCTGCCGGTAAGTTGGATATTTGCCAGGACATTTTATATATATATAGTTGTACTCGTAGTATAGACAATCGGCCTTTCTCGACTTTTTGTACGTTCTATTGTTGCTGCTCATAAATTAAAGTGTTTCATCTAAATATAAAAAAGTAAAGAGAGAGCAGATATTCACATGCTTCACACGGCTATTAAATAATATATTTAATATGAACGTATATAAAATGTAGTCTGTAGGCCTATACACTGAATGTTAATATGTCATGCGAAAACTGAAGTTTTCAATAGCAGACAAATATTTCTTTAAGTTTAACTGTTGATATGATAATTGTAAAATACGAAGTAGATGTGGTGTGGAGATCTGCATCCTTCGAGCTAATGGCAAGAAGTTAGTTGTTTGTTGGACTTCAAATTATTTTCGGGCTACGTTGTTCATGTCATCTTTGTATGAGGAACCAACACATTTGATGCCGTGATGTTTTGAAAACCATGAACTAGAAATTCGGAACCTAAACTAACCTAACCTTTTAAACAGGAGATAAGTAGTGCGCTCGAAATCATTATTTCATGCTCTTGATATAATAAGTCGTGCACACGAGATATTTTTTCTCCTCTTTATCCCCTCCTGGACTCCGCAAGATTGTATGCATGTTTTCATGTTAATTTTTAAAAAAATGTTATGAATAACTTTTATAGCTTAGAGTAATAACTGAAGAATTAACATAAAAATTTGTCATCTATTTCAGTTGCACTTTCAAAAATGAAACCAAATTGTCATAAAACTGTTAGTTTCTCCATACATGTACTAATATATATACTCATTTGTAAAAATGAAACCAAATTATCATGTGCTTGTCCTTTTCTCCAGATGTCTACTGATATATACTCGTTTATAAAAACGAAACAAAATTTTCTTACGTTTGCTCATTTCTCCACACGTCTACTGATATACGATTGTTTGTTTGTTGTTAACACAAAGCTACACAATGTGCAACCATAGGGATCAAATTCTGAATGTTGTCGTTATAAGCCCTCGTGGTTACCGCTAATCCAGTATATATACTCTTTTTAATGTCTGTAAGTAATGAGCATGTCGGTTCTTTTAGTCTTTTACTTAAATCTGTGTTATACGATGGTTAAGCACAAAGTCGCACAATGGGTTATCTGTGCTATGCCCAACACGGGTATTAAAACCCGGTTTTTAGCGTTTAAGCCTCAGACTTACCACTTACCCACTGGGGGAGGCTCCTCAAAGACATGCGCCACATTAAAACCATGCAACATTGTGACACATTAATTGAATATGTAAACCAGTTTTGAATGTTTATTAAACAAAAGTAGATCCACACTAAAAACTAACTTCTGTGAAGAAATGTCCATGTTTTAGAAGTGCTGATGTTAAAAAGTAGACCCACACTAAAAGCTAACTTCTGTGAAAAAATGTCCGTGTTTTAGAAGTGCTGATGTTAAAAAGTAGACCCACACTAAAACTAACTTCTGTGAAAAAATGTCCGTGTTTTAGAAGTGCTGATGTCAAAAAGTAGACCCACACTAAAACTAACTTCTGTGAAAAAATTCCATGTTTTAGAAGTGCTGATGTTAAAAAGTAGATCCACACCAAATACTAACTTCTAGTGAAGAAATATCCATGTTTTAGAAGTGCTGATGTTAAAAAGTAGATCCACACTAAAAACTAACTTCTGTAAAGAAATGTCCATGTTTTAGAAGTACTGATGTTAAAAAGTAGACCCACACTAAAACTAACTTCTGTGAAAAAATTCCATGTTTTAGAAGTGCTGATGTTAAAAAGTAGACCCACACCAAAAACTAGTAAAGAAATACCCATGTTTTAGAAGTGCTGATGATAAAAAGTAGACCCACACCAAAAACTAACTTCTAGTGAAGAAATACCCATGTTTTAGAAGTGCTGATGATAAAAAGTAGATCCACACCAAAAACTAACTTCTATTGTATTTCATTAGATATATAGCATTACTACTAATAGTAAAATATATACATATATACTAAAACAAATATTTATTTTTACAGAACAGATAAGAAGACTTGGACAATAGTAATTTCATCGAAAACTTGTTATAAGGAGTGCAGTACACTGGCATTATTGGATTTCTTAGAGTTAGATAATTATTAACAGCATATTATGTCGTCTTTCAAAATTAGTAGTGCATGCTGAAGGGATTTGTGTATTTGGATAATAGAAAAAACTACCTTTATGTACTAGCCGTAAAGAAACCGAAAAGGTGAAACGTCGGTTAAAATAATTCTCTTATTTAAATAGAGAGTAAAGGTCGTTTTTTTTCTAACTTTATTAACAGAATTTTAAGTAAATCAAAAATAAGAATAAAAAGTGTGGGTTAAAATTACTTTTTGAATATTTAAGACTCTTGCGATCGTTCTTTTTATAAATAATAATGCAACAACAGGAAGACCTCAGTTTATTCTATACAATATACAAATAATTATTTGAAAAAGTATAGTTTCAATAAAATGATGACAAATGTTGTTAATTTTGTACGAATTAATTTTTATGTCTGATTTTTTTTAAATAATAAGAAAATAAAATATATTAATTACTGGCTTGAATTATGACTTCCACGAAACTGCAGTAACTAATCTATAAGGTATGTTTATTTGTTATTTTATTTTATTTTCTTCACCAAAACATGAATTGTAGTGAATAAAAAAATGGTTTAATCTATTCTTTGATTCGATACTCCCGCTTTAACAGACTAGTTTCGCCGAAATCACGGCTCCTCGGTGCCGTTTTGAAAAGCGAAGCAAATAAATAAAGTAGGCTTAATATAGTGGTGAAATGTAAGCGGTTTATGTGGTTTAGATATATAGTCCTTTACATGATATATTATCTAAACATCTAAAGTATTTTATGTTATTATTGGTGATTAAAACAGGATTATGCATCTAAACCAAAGAAACAATGAGTAAGAGATGTTACTAGACTTGTTTAAAACATCTTACGATAAAGTTATTCAGAATTAAAAAAATATTTACCAAAGTGATGATATAAACCAAATCGTATTAATTATACTGTCATCTTGAAGGTTAGTTTTCTAGAATATTTAAGGATAGGGAAGGAGACCAATAAAACGTTGGTATAAGCGACTACACTTCCGTTTGTGTGTTTGTTGTGAAGCACAAAGCTACACGATGGGCTGTCTATGCTGTGCCCACCACGAGTATTGAAACCTGGTTTTTAGCAGTATGAGCCCCCAGACTTGCCGCTGAGTCACTTGGGGGGGGGGGGATTACTTCTGTTTGAAATTTGATAAACGGCTGAATCTGTTTCTTTTGAATATTACTTAATCAAAACTGAAAACATTTTGAATTAAAATATGTAAAGTATTTATTAGCCGGAAATTTAAGACGGTTAAGGTTTTTTATTAAAACGAAAAATACTAATATTAGAACAAAGAATTTAAAACAATACACATAGAAAAAGTATCAAGTCTACTGACCTGATTTGTATTTAAAAAGGAATATATTATCATTTATTCACTGGCGCTTGGATTATACGGAATCTTTAAAGAGCTCTAAAGAGGCGAATCTCATCCAACGGAAACTAAATATAGCGAGAGGCGTTGCTTGGAGATCTGCCAGATATGTGTGTTTGTTTGTTGTCAGGGTTGAGTCTCTCGTTCTTCGTGTCACTTGTTTCTGATACCCGATACGGCTGTCTGTTAGTATCGTTTGTGGGGGGTTGTATTGTTATCTTAATTGAAAGTTTTAATTGTAAAATATGCTTTTCTAATTGAACCTCTCAATGTTTGGTGACATTCGGTTCGTGCATATTGAGAACTATATTGAGTCTTTCAGTGTTTGGCGTAGGGCCTGGTGGTTAAGGCGGTCAACTAGCTATCTGAAGGTTGCGGGTTCTATTCCCCCGTCACCGAACATGCTCTGTCTTTCAACCGTGGGGGCGTTATAATGTGATGGTCAATCCAACAATTCGTTGGTAAAAGAGTAGCCCAACAGTTAGCGGTGTGTGGTGATGACTAATTGCCTTCCGTCTAGTATATCACTGCTAAACTAGGTACGGCTAACGCAGATAGACTTCGCGTAGCTATGCGAGAAATTCCAAAGAATCCAATCCAAATCTAGTGTTAGGTGAAGTTAAATAGATCGAATCTTTCAGTCCAATATTTGATTAGAGTTATAGTGATTGAGTCTTTCAGTTTACTAAGGCAGTGAAACAGGTCAAGTTTTTCGGTGTGTGTGGTGATAATTGTTCTGATTTAGTCTTTTAACTCAATATTTGGTGAGAGTTATAGAGGTTCAGTCTTTCAGTGAGTAGTGACAAAGATTCTGATTGAGTCTTCTAAACTAGCAGAGCAGAGGTCGAACTTCCTTCACCAAGTTTACCGAGTAGGTTTACCTTAAGAAGAGATTATAGGAGGTCAAACTTCCTTTACCAAGTTTACTGAGTAGGTTTACCTTAAGAAGAGATTACAGAAGGTCAAACTTCCTTTACCAAGTTTACTGAGTAGGTTTACCTTAAGAAGAGATTACACAAGGTCGAACTTCCTTTCCAAAGTTTACTGAGTAGGTTTACCTTAAGAAGAGATTACACAAGGTCGAACTTCCTTTCCAAAGTTTACTGAGTAGGTTTACCTTAAGAAGAGATTACAGAAGGTCGAACTTCCTTTACCAAGTTTACTGAGTAGGTTTACCTTAAGCTACATTCGCCCATTATCACAATTCTTTGAAAGTCCGAAAGATTCTTCCTGTTAATCACTGTCTTGTAAATAACATCATTTGACTACGTTTTCGCATTTTATGATACAAGAGAACACTTGACGTGTCAAACGATTGCTCTATTTTGCACATACATGAAGAAATTATAGTGTTTCACACATGTGTGTGTGAGAGTCCCTAAAAATGTCCAAAGATGCCTATAGGCACATAGAAAGTTACCCTCTACCATTTCTTTCACACTGGATTTAAAACTTTCCATTAATCCAAAGAAAACTAGTCTCTCAC